GTGTCACTGAAAACTGGAGTAATGATGCTGAAAATTCAGCTTTGCCATGACGGAAATAAATTCCATTTAAAAATGTAAAACAGCATTTTATTTAACCATGATTTTTTTTCATGGCTAAGGGGTTTTATTGCTTGAATGTTTACACCAGGTTGGTTATGCCATCCGTTTTGAAGACTGTACATCAGAGAAGACTGTAATAAAATACATGACGGATGGGATTCTTCTGAGGGAATCTCTGCGGGAGTCAGATTTGGACCACTATAGCGCGGTAATCATGGACGAGGCCCATGAGCGCTCCCTCAACACTGATGTGCTCTTCGGGCTGCTCCGAGAGGTGAGCGTTGTCTCTAGTTTCACACAACTTCATAGGATCGAATGGCAAACTGTTTTCATCATAGTAAATTTTATTGGTTTTCATGCACTAAATTTGATTGTTGCTTATATGGATAGTTAAAGACTACTGTTGAATTTAGCGTTTGATACTGATGAGTCGTCATCTCCCGTCTTCATTTTATCAACCTGGCTTTTTGATTACTTAGGTGGTGTCTAGACGCTCGGACTTGAAGCTCATTGTCACATCTGCCACCATGGACTCAGACAAATTTGCAGCATTCTTCGGCAATGTTCCTATTTTCCACATTCCTGGCAGGACGTTCCCAGTGGATATCTTGTTCAGCAAGGTGGGGTGTTAATCGCGTCTTCAGTTAAAGCTGAAGCTGGTTGGGGTGCTGTACTGATGCTGAGTGTTGGTGTGATTCAGGTTCCTCAGGAGGACTATGTGGAGGCGGCTGTGAAACAGTCCTTACAGATTCATCTCAGCGGGATGGTGGGTGACATCCTCATCTTCATGCCTGGTCAGGAGGACATTGAGGTGAGGAGATTTTTTAGTCACGCAAATGATGTTATGAGTGGAATCACAATTTATATACACTAATAATAATACACTACCGTTTCTCAAATTGTTAGCTAATCCTAATTGTTAGCTAACTATGGTTGCAGGTTCCATTGAACTCTATTGGTAATGACAGAACTTGTGAACATAGTTGCTTGTGGGAAACGCACCCCAGGTTAGGTTTGGGGTCGGCAAGATTTTTTATGTTTTTGAAAGAAGTCTCATGCTCACCAAGACTGTTTTTATTCAACAAAAATACAGTAAAACAGAAATGCTGTGAATTATTACAATTTAAT